TTTGTCAAAACCCCATGGCATGTGCAATACCAAGAAGGGACCTCCTATCATCTAGGGGTGCTAGTTCCTAGCATACAACATATCAATATAGGTTCACTGACTACAGCCAATGGGCCACTGTGGGCAGTGACAGTGGAGGAGACTGGGTACGCATGGTGGACCAGAAGGTATTTTGGAAGTCTCTCAACATTATGTTCAATCTTGCTGTGAACTAAAAACTGCTCTAGAGAATAAAGTTTAGTTTTAAAAATATAAACTGATATCTTAGTTGGTTTGTAACACCCAGTCTAAAGTTCTATGATTAAGAAAAAGAGCAGTACAGTTTTTTTTTTTTGCAACTGCAAAATAGTTGATGCATATATAATAGTTTCATTCTTCATTTTAGAGATTAAATAACAAGGGAAGTGGTTTGAATATAGTTGGGAGTGCAATTGCTAGATCCAAGTAGATCCAAGTGTCAAATGTAGTTAAAAGCAGACTAGAACTGGACAACTAGGGGGGAAAAGTGGAGGTGCTACAGTGTGACTCTCTATTACCCACCCCAAGCCTTCTATTGAGATCTTCGCCTTTAAGGTGATGATGCTCACGTGTGGGGGCCTTTAAGCGGGCTGACTAAGTCACGTGGGCAGACCTTCATGAACAGGATTAGCACCTTCACCCCTTCCACCACGTGAAGACACAGTAAGAAGGAGTAGTATATGAGCCAGAAAAGCAGGCAGTTCCCAAGTATTGAACCTGCCTTAGCTCAGGGTTTTCTGGTCTATGAAAAACTATGAGAAATACATTTCTGTGTTTGTATACTACTCAGTTTATGACATTTTGTTACAAAGGCTAAGAGAACAATTATTTGGTCAAAGTCCCACATCCTGTAAGTAAGGAAAATAAGGCTGTGGGTCACAAGATAATTGACAGAAAGAACAAACTCAGAATCAGCTTACCCCAACAAATCAACACAATTGTAATAAAATTCAGAGATGCTAACTCTTTTCTTCTCTCATGTATTCATTTTTCCCCAGAAGACATGACACCAATTAGTATATTTTTTCAGCTGATAACATGCATCAACCTTTGTATATTTACTCATTTATTCTGTGTGTGCCCAATTTTTCCCAGAGGTCATTACAATTTTTGTTTGTTTTCGGAATTCTTAAACGCCTAAGGAAACATTTTACTGACAGTGAATATGAAATGCATGTGTTTATTACTAGAGCCAAGGCTATGCTCACCACCCTATCACTGTAGTGAGAAGCTAGAATCTTGGCCGGCCTCTCGCAGAGGTAAAAATCTACCCATGGTGGGAGCAGCTGCTGCGACTGTGACGGAATCTACAAATAGCATGCTGGGAATTCGGCAGGCACTGTTATTATATCCTGTTTACACTGTCATTTCTCCTATCAGCAGGATATTGTTTATACAGACCCCACCCCTGCACTTCTTGTTTATCTTATTATAGAAGCCCTCCAAATCTATAAAAAGCAGCCTCTGCATTTGCTTCTGGAACAGCACATGTGTTGGAATTTTGCACCTTGCTACACTTTTTTATTTAGCATTTTCTGTTGTTAGGCACCATCCGCTCTGATTTTTATCTTAAGGTTGATTTCACATATTAGAGTTGAACTCAAATGACTTTCCGAGAATCTGCTCTAGAACGACAGAAAAGCATGTCTAGGTAATGCCCAGATATCAAGGATGGAAAGGCTTCCTAACCAGGCTCTCCCTGCCCTAAATGGGTCAATCATAAGGGCTTTACTAACCCATTGTTCTTCCCAGACATGAGAAGTGCTTTTCTGTTAGCTTCCTGGCTGGAGAGGCTGGGACACAAATGTGATTAATTCATAATAACATGAGAAACACAACTCAGTGAGTTAGCCAACAGATAAAAAATAAATTAGCCTGCTTATTAATTTTCTCATTCTTCTGCTTTGTAGATTAAAACAAAACAAAACTAAAAAACCTACAACTTTATTACAAAAATGTACAGTATTGTTGAACAAGCAATCATCCTGGAAACAGTGCCTCAGTGTACCTTTTGACGTGTGGTTGGAGCTAAACACAACCAGCTGGCTCCTTTATGCCTCAACCAGCTCTACCAGGTAGCGAGGTGGGTGTGAAATATTCCAAGAGGACAGTGAGACTCTCTAAAGAAACTGCATCCCTCAAGTGAGGATTAAATCTAATGATAGTCACTATGCGGATGCCAGAATGGCATCCTAACAGAATGAGCTGTGGTTGGTAGGAATGGATAGAGCTATGCTGAGGAGGAAAGGGCCTCCTGGTAAACCACGAATTTGGGAGCATGCAAATGAGCAGGACTCTCAAAACTACAAGTAGTTAAATTCAGCTGTGTGAATATACATAATAGAAGACAGAAATAAAAATGGAGGTGGGGATTGCATTTTAAGAATTTCCAGGAGGGGTCAGTGAATAAATATGCTTGCTGCCAAGGCCTATGACCTGAGTTCAATCCCTGGAACACACATGGCAGAAGGAAAAAGAAACTCTCACCCAAACGCATACACTGTGACAGGCATGCAAGAACACACAAAACATGAATATTTTTTTTTTTTTATTATTTCTTATTTTAGACAATGAAGGGCCAAAGGCAGGTTCACAGAAATGTGAACTTAATCCTTTGGAACAGAAACCAAGACGAAAACCTCTTTGAGGTGAAGCTAAAATGGGGAAGACATTTTTAACAATATCCCATCATTATGATGGTAAAGGAAGGCCATGTGTACAACAGGTAATAAATGTCTAAGTGTATCTCAGCTCTTCCTTTTCTTTTCTTTTTCTTTTAACCTCTTCCTTTTCTAAATGGGAGGTGGTATTATTGAGTGAGGCAATGATAATCAATGACTACCAACTGGTATTACTGTTTGGAAAGTTTACCAGTTTCCTAGAACAGTCCTTCTCCAACCTAAATCACTCAGGGGATCTGGCTGAAATATAAATTCTATTTCAGTCAATTTAGAGGTGATATTGTGTATTCCTACATGTCTAACAAGTTTTCAGCTAACACCAAAACTGCTCTTTCCTGGACTGTATTAATGAAAATATTTTATATACTGTGTTTAACTCATTATGGTACAATGCTCATATCTGGCATAAGGAAGACCTTTAAGGGTATCTTTCTACAATTTGTAACAATGCTGGACACTCATCCAAAACTACTATTTTACAAATCCAAGATGAGGACTGGCTCAGGACCAGAGTTTGATCCCAGGATTCACATTTAGAAGGAGAAAATTGAGTTCCTCAAGCTGTCTCAAGCCACACATGCACGCACGCACGCACGCACGCACGCACCCTAGCACACACGTATAAGATGATTCAAGATTCAGTATATTGAATACTCAGAAATATTCTCTTCTGAACAAAATCAACCTTGCAATTATATCATGTTACAAATTTGTCTGCCCACCCCCCCCCCCCCCCCGGTTTGCAAACCAGAACATATATTGCTTATAGTCCTAGAGGCTAAAGTAAAGGCACAAAGAAAACATCCACTCACTGCATAATCTACCACATCATGAGTTTCAGTAACACCTGCACAATTTGCCCTTACAGTGTGTTAAACACTGTAGCTCAGTTTTTTAAAGATAAGGATTATTAATTTATCTTACATATCCTACTGGTAAATACCTAAAAAGTTAAATAATTAAATCCACACACCTTTTTTTTTTTTTACCATTAAGACTCCTACATAGACGGAAACATTCAAAAGTCTTTTACCAGTAACAAAGACATTGTTTATAAAAGTATATTATTGATAAAATACATACACCTGCATATACACATACATATCATAAATGGTTGGCTGACATTAGGTATAGGGAATGGAATTTAATACTTTTAGCTCTGAAGTTAAAATTTTAATCCAATTAATGATCAGGAACAACCTCTTAAGAACATTTGCTTCAGTATGTACCAGCATTTCCACCACAGAAGGAACATCAGAGCTGGAGGAGCTCAGATGCCAACCTGAAACCACAAAGTATGAAAACTGAGGCAGGGGCCTGAGAAGCCCCGAGGCATAAGTTTGCAGCTGTGTGCTAAAAGGTGGTGGTGGTAATTATTGTAACTGTCAGTGCAGAAAGTAAAACAGCACAGCAAACGTAAACACACAGGAAGAATTTCTGGTTCCTCTATGATCTCTAGAACTAAGGAAGAGCACACACCAACAGTGATGACACACCTACCCCGATTCAATAGTTCCATTTTAAAAATGTGATCTGGATAGAGAATGACACATATATATACCACATGTCAGAGTGATGTCTGGGTTGGGTGGAGAATGGGATGGTATATAAAGAACAACAACAAAAAGACAATGCTGATCCTCATCTTCTCAGGAGGGGGTGAGCAAAGCTTACACATACAGAGAAGGTCATTCAAAAGAGAACTTTCAGTAGGGAATGGTGGTGCAAATATCCCAGTGCTTGGGAGGTGGCTGCAAAAGGATCAGGAGGTCAAGGTCATTATCAGCCACGCAGTGAGTTTGAGGCCAGCCTCAACTGCATCCCACCCTGTCTTAAGAAAAAACAAAAAACAACAAACAACAACAAAACCAAAGCCCCAACAACAACAAACCCCCAAAATAAAAAAGGAAAACAAAGACTCCCACAACTTGCTTTTACCTCAAGTCACTTTTTATGGGTGGGTGAAGTCCTGGGTTTGATTTAGAGGACTGCAAACAGACAGCAGCTGATGTGCATGTCTCACAGGCGCTATCATAATCAAAAGGAAACGACATCTCCCTTTCAATTACAAAACAGGGATTTTTTTTCTTATTACTAGCATTACAAAATTTACTACCATAAATTTAAAAAAGATGAGTGGAGCATGTCCCAGTAACAGAGGCACTGGTTTAAAACCCAGGCTGCCGTCACCATGCCCAAGCTGACAGGGCTGCAGCATGGAAATGAAAGCAATATCCCAACACCTGCACAGAGGGCAGAGACGAGACATGATTCTAGAATAAAGGGCTCTCCGGCTCTTACCTGTTACCTGTGCAACAACTGCTTGGGAAATCCTCCGATTGGCAAGAAAGGCTTTGATTTCCTCTTTTATCACACTGCTGTCCCTCCTAACAAAAACAGAAGACAAGACCAACAATGTATGTTGAAGGTAGAAATCCTCATCTTTGCTAAAAAGAAAGGTGAAGCCGAGAGGTGGGGAGAACACAGAAAGGAAGGACACAAAAATAAAAGGGAAACAGACTAAACTTGGGTGAAAATATGAAATTACAACAAACCAAGAAACACCAAATACTCCAGTCCTGAAACGTCACACCATCAGACAGACACCTCAGTGAATGCCACTGTGGATACAAGTCTCATGTAGGAGGACCATTAATTGCATGCTGTGTATAATTTAAATTAGGAACAAGGCTGCCATATGCGGTATGTGTGTTCTCATTATTGGGGAATAAATCGTATATAGAAGCCCTGGAAAAATAAAAGCAACAGCAATGAAAATCAGCTGTAAGTAGATTGTGGGTTTGCAGGTGAATGGAGGAGCTGTAGACGTGACACTCATCTTAAAAACCTTGGAAATGCTTCCGGGGCAGAAATCAACACCATTCTCACAACTGAAATAATTAGCATTGTAAGAAACACTCTCAGCTGCTTCCTCTCCCTCCCTTCTGTATAAGCAACCCCCCAAAAGAATGTGGGATGGTTTGAAATATTAACAGTTTCATATTAAAAGTATTTATTAATTTCCAATTACATATAATAAGTATATAGAAGAGTTAATACTAAAAACTATATTATTCAACCTTGGTATTATATACTCTTGGCCCATTACAAACTTTATTAAAAAAAATCATCACACCTTCATAGACCAGACATCCGTAAGTGTATGACAAAGAACAACTCATTCTTTCACCAAAACAAACAATAAAGAAAAATTACACCAGAGCTATAAGACTATAAAAGCAGAACACTATTTCTTATTCAAGATGAAAACTGTCATAGAATCATGGTAGCTTATTATCTAAACAAGGTCAACAGATTAAGGGCCTCAGCTGAAGTCAATCTGCCATCTGCTCTCATATAAGCCACAAACATAATCTTTCTCAGATGGACCATTGCAAATAAATTTTTTAAAAAGCATCCTTCCTTTATTTTTACAAATACTGTATAACCCCCCCGCAAACTGTATACAATTATTTCAACTCTATATTGAATTTTTTTTCAGTTTTTGAGACAGGGATTCAATCTTCTCTTCTCTCTGTCTCTGTCTGTCTCTCTCTCTCTCCCTCCCTCCCTCTCCCCTCCTCTTTACTGAGACAGACTTTCTCAGTGTAGCCATGGCTGTCCTGAACTTGCTCTATAGACCAGGCTAGCTTTGACTACCTTCCTGCCTCTGCCTCCTGAGTGCTGGGATTAAATGCATGCACCACTGCCTGTTGGGGACTCACTTGCTAGTCTAGCCTGAAACTATTTGGTCCAGGTGGTGCTTAAACTTGAGGCAATCCTCCCATCTCAGTCTCTTCATGCTAAGATTACAAGTTCCATGTTGGATTTTTGTCAAGGAAAGCTGTGGCCATTTTTTCTCTTTCTCTCTCTCTCTCATTTTTAGTTTTCTGAGACACGGTCCATTAGTCCACGCTGGCCTTGAGTTTACTGGTCACCTAGTCTCAGCTTCCTGAGTGCTGGGATTGTAGCTGTGTGCTGCCATTCCCAGTTCTCTCCCTTGTACAGTATCTCTACTACACCCTCAATTTTGCCTCTTGGCAAAGTCTAAAAATGTTAACCACTAGCTATTAACAGTAAAACGTTTGACCCTTGATCTAAGACAAAAGCATCACAAACCTTTAAAACCTGTTTTGAGAACGAACCACAAATTTCCTAGGGGCTCACGTCTCACTAGAGATTGGAGAAGAAACAAAAGAATCCTATCAGAACATGGTACTAACGTGCGATTTAATTTAGACAGGTCTTTTAGCCCCCTCACCTGGAAGGGTTCTGCACTCTGCTGGGGGGTGCCCTGCTCCCTGTGGAGCTGTACCTGTGCACGTAGCCTGTGTACACGTGTGAGTCCCTGTTTGTCTCTGAGCCCAGAGTTCACTAGTTTGCTTGACTGGCTGGCAATGAGCTGCAGGGATCCCCTCAGGCCAAAGGCACATACCACCAGTGCCTGACTTTTTATGTGGGTGCTGAAGAAGTGAACTTAGTTCCTCATTCCTGTGCAGCAGGCTCAGCCCTGTCTGGGCCACGTCCCTGCTGTGGGGAATTTTGGAAAAGAGTAGAGATGGGGTAGTGAGTACCTAATACGTAGCTCTACAATATCCCTGAGTTATTGATAGAAATCCTAACCAAGCAGTAAGAAAATAAAACTTTAGCTGCCTAATGTAATATTTAAAATTTCCCAATCTTATTTAGACTCCCATCTACATGTTGACTACGTTTCTCTCAAAATGCCTGTCTCTGTACCGATTACGAGCGAGGCAACCTTGGCAGTAACTATTTCAGATGGCTTTTGTACACAAACCTAATCATTGTCTTCCGACAGAACTACAAAATTAAGCTGACAATTTTATATAAACAATTGCATTTCAACATACCAAATGATCTTGGAAAAAGAAACTATATTTGAGAATAATTGTTCAGATTAAATTTTAAAATGTACTTTTGTAGGCAAAATGAGCCAATGGTATTTTCTTGACTAATAATTTACAATCAAATTTAAACCAGCTCATTTGAAACAAATGCACCTACAGCAGACACTAAATCATACAGAACAGATAACACTCAACTACGTAACCAGTATTGAATGACTCACAGCCTTACAGTATGGCATTAAAGGCCAGGAGGAGTCCCCAATGCTTAGAAAGCAGCAACCCACTCACCACCGCCAAGAATACACTCTTATATATTATGCAGGTCTCTAAAGTATCCACAATAATTTTAACCATACATTCTTTACTGCTTTACCATAGATACTTTTTGAAAAACAATTAAAAAAAAAAAAAAAGACTGAGATGTAGCTAAATGCCTAAATGCCTGGCCAGCATCCTAAGAATCCTCTGGTTTCACTCTCCAGCCCCTCCACTCCTTAGAAGACAAAAACATGTGAGGGAAAGCCACTCAATAAAAGTGTGCTCTGGTTTCACCATTTGTTAAAATAAGAACATTAACACACTCCTTCCAAGGGTTTCATTTCTACAATTAGTGTGCATTAGCTGTGCAAAATAATGAGTCTCACTAGGGCATTTTCCCACATGTGTACAATGCACTTTGATCCAGCCACCTGGCTGCCACGACCTCCCCCCCCCATTCTCTCTCCACTCTCTCTGATCTCCTCCCTCTCCTTCTGAACTCCTGCTGGTCCTTTCCATTTCCCTTCTCTACTCTTGTTGGCCCCTCCCTCTCCTCCTCTCCATTCCTGTTGGTCCCCCTCCTATCCCCAAATTCAAAGGGTTTTAAGAAATAGCTTGTGGCAGAATGCTTCCCTAGCATGTACAAGACCATGTGTAAAGTCTCCAGCATCGACAAAAAAAGGTCTTTAAAATGCTCCTTCAGGTAATAAAATAAAAAACTGAATGATATAAATACATACATATGCATGCAAATAATATGTACAAAAGAAATTTTCTTTAAAGGAGAAAGTTTTGAAATTGTAAATGTATCGTATAAACACACACTATTATTTCTATGAAACCGTCAGACAGGATCCAAAGGAAAGGAGAAACAAATGATCAACTGTAACTGTTAGACTGAAGTTCACGCCTTAGACCAAGTACTTCAAAGCACCATGGACACAGTGCTCTGAAGTCACGGTAGGAGAGTGCCGGTTTGCTTGGGTTCGCTGGGTATTTACGAAAACAGTAACATCACTCGCCTTCACCGTCCAGTTTGTTCTACTGGGCTGCTTGGCTCTTTGTCTTCGTGTCCTCTCTGTCTTCTATTCCATATTGCTCCCTTTGTTGAAAATTGGACATTTTACCTAAAGAGAATGAGTCTCTTCTGCCACTCCACCACAGTATCTCCCATGCCTCAAGACTCCTTACGTCTTAGGGAATTACAATAAAGAGCAAGGCAATTACTTCTCTGGTTTCACTCTTAACTTCCAACAGAAGCAACCCCTTGATCTCAACTGAGGCACTTGAAGCGCCTGCCACCTCTTCCTGCTCCTGTTTTCACATCGCTGCCACTGTGTTCATCTGGTGGACTTCTTCTACAGCAGGAAGGAGCGCTCCCTTCCTAACCATCACTGCCCACTGCCCTGTTTTTAAACTAGTTAAACTCTCCACTATTATCCTTCCTAATATATATGCAAGAACTCATCAGGAATGCCTTTTTGACAAACCACTGTTAAAAACTTCACGCATGTATGTATATGAGAATAGGACCATGAGGCAGCGGTCTTGCATAACCCAGGATCACTCTGAACCAGAGGTTTTCCTGCCTCTGTCTCTGGAGTGCTGGGATCTAAGTGGCACCACCACCCTGTCCTGATTCTAATGCTCCTTGCTTTTTGTTTTGTTTTGAGCCTGGTCTTGCTACCTGGCTGTTTGAAACTCACAGCAAGCCTCCCGCCTCCACCTCCCAAGTACTGGGATTCCAGGAGTACCACCACACCTGGCTTTCTGATTACCTTTTCAAAAGACACGAAGTAATTGTCATCTATCTAGAGAGTTCTCTCTGATTATCACAGCTTACAAAGAAAGATCTCTTTTAACAAAGCTAACTCTTAACATTTCAACTGTAGTATGGTGGACACAACGCTTTATAGCCCATCTAGCCTACTAGCCCAGAAAGGGCTTTAGTACAAAGATTCTGTCACATTCAGCATGGATTTTTCATATAATAAAACTTAATTTGTTTAATGAGTGAAAATTTTCTAGAAATTAAAGCCTGTAAAATGGAAAATCTTATCTAAATAATTTATATAACAGCTTTAAATTCTTATTTTCAAGTACATTTATGTTTTCCACATCAGGGTAGAGAGATTATTTATGGTGATTCAAAATGACACTGATTTGTTTTCTGGAAGAAAGCATATTAAGGGCTCATATTTTATAATGATACACTTTAAGATGACTCATACTCCCCGAGTTAACACACCCTCAGCATTTCTCTGCATGTTGTAAAGGGAGCTAGCTCAAAGTCACCCCAAGATGAAGCCATCACAGTGTATTTCACAGTTGAAAGACACTCATGACCTTCTCCCTGTGCAGATACAGAGCACAGTTTTAAGAGAGAACATTACAGAGAGAGCTGTTCTATATGCAGAAGACGGAGGGAGAGCGCACCACCACTTAGTGCTGTTACGTTCTTATAGAAGAGCATAAACATCCTGCCTGACAAGTAAATACAGGCTGAGAGCCCCCACTGAGGTTATCGGACCAAAAGCCTTTTCAGATTTTCTTTTAAATTTGGGAATATTTTCATATTTATAATGAAATATTTTAGGGGCAGAAATCAAGTATAAACACAAAATTCAATTATGTTTTACATAATTATATAGAGAGACTAAATGTAACTTGGGACAGTATTTTAAATAACTCTGTGCCTAGGAATATGTTGTATTACGGAATTTTTCACTTGTGATACAGAGTGCTCAGAAGTTTTTAATTTTAAAACACCATGGCTCAAGGATGCTCGACCTATGTTTTACTGTTAGGCATACATATAACCAACTTGGAATGAACTTGCAGAATTTTGTACAAAATACTAACAAAATGTCGTAACAAAACGTCGTGTCTGGGTGGTATAGAGCAACATGTTTAACGTACAGCATTACTAATTCCAATAAGCCTCATTTACATTATCTCATAATACACACACGACTGCAGGAAAACACTGCTCTATTCTAATGTATTAGCAGATGCAGGCACACATTCCTATGCATATACTTACGTACTAATAGGCCTTTTAAGATGTCCTAATGTAAAATGAGTTGGCTTTCGGTCCTTCCTAAAGTGGTACATTCAACCATTTACTGAGAATTTATGTTAGTGTGGCTTTCTTCTTTCTTTTTTTGACCCCAATTCAAAACTAGAAAAGATAATTTCTGACTCTTTAACAAATGATCAAGAGTACAGTTATAATCTGATGAAGCTACACACACACACACACACACACACACACACACACACACACACACACACAAATCTCCATTATATACCTTCAAATTATACACAGTAATATAGATTCTCTGAATTATAAAATCTGCAAAGCACGTCTTAGGGTGAAGTACCTGCAGGTTGGGGCTGTGGGCAAGTAGGAGGAGTGTTTTACACATAGCCCAGGAGGCAGAAAGGCCCTCAGGTATCCATGATTCCTACTAGAGCCCACCAATTCCAGGTCACTGTCATGTTACCAGTATTGAGTAAGCAGCAAGGACAGTGTATCACTAGACAGACACAGAATACTCAGAAAGAGTTACTGTTTGAAAAATTCTCTAATGTCTCACCAATAAAAATTCACTGTTTAGTAAGTGACTGACTGGAAGTAGCAGATAGCATGTCAGGGAAGGAGGAAAGCAAGCCCAGTAAGGCAATTCACACCATTTTGAAGAATTATATGTATTACCTTTCCTAAAGCCTTATTTAATCTGTAAGCATAAATAATGTCAGTGATAAAATATACCAGCAAGACAATGATAATAAAGCCATGGGATATAATTAGGCTCAGTTGCCCAATAATCAACTTTCTTGAGCAAATTATTAATTTTCATGAACTCAGCTTCTCTGATCAAGCACCCAGCATGGCTGTTGGGACTGCACACGTCCTGTGTCCCGTTCAATCAACGTCTCCCCGTGTCCTAAGAAGGACTACCCTCTGCAAACTTGAAAACAGTGAGAAGGGGCACATTTGAGCAAAGCTGGAGTGGAAGAAAGCTCAATTGTGAAGGACCAGGGGTACCAAAGGTCTAGAGGACTCTGACTAAATGTCAAAGGAGCTGTTCTGAGGAGGAAGCAGGGGAAGGGAAGAAGAAAGTGTCCTAATAACTACACAGCAACGAAGAGCACACAGATGAAACACACACTACACCCGTGAGACTGCACCCACCTGAGTGTGCACGACAAAACAAGCCAGCACCTCAACAGATAAATGCTATTTTGCTATCTTCTCTACTCAGGATAACTAAAATCTCACAAAACTTCAACAAATAAAGTAACTTATTTGCCCAAATGGTTCTCCTTTTTAAACTGAACGATGATAGATGCTAAGTTTCCAAAACCACCTACGGCCAAGGCTATGACTCAAGTGAAAGAGAAAGCCCGGGTTCAAGCTTCAGCACTAAGAAAGTCACCAGCAACAGCAGAGCTTTGGACACTGTTAATAACTGATGAACCACAAGCCTCGATGATCTCTTGTATTTCGTTCAGAGAGCTAAAACTTGACAACACTGACTGTGGTTGAGGTATGATACTCTTCATTACATGTACCCCATGGTCCCTGCAGCCAAGGGTTCCATGTGTGAAAGCTCTACCCTAAAAACAAACTCAGAAGAGGCTGTGTATTTAAGGCTGTCTTCTCACAGAGGTGTTACAGGATGGGTCTTCACACAACACTGTCAAGGCACTGTCATTCTGTCTTGATGTCAGAAAATCTTCAGGACCAGTTAAAACTCAGTTACAACTTTTGTTTTTACCTCCAATAAGTCTACAATTCTGTTCATTATCAACTGTAACTAATAATTATCTGCAGCCTCTCGCCTTTTTAAAAAAAATTTGGCTATTTTATGTGCATGAGAGTTTTGCTTGTACACATGTATGTGTACCACATGTATGTCTGGGGCCTGCAGAGGTCAGAAGAGGGTATCAAATCTAGAATGGGAGTTATGGATGGTTGTGAACTACCAAGTCGGTGCTGGGAACCAAACTCAGGTTCTCTGCAAGAACAAGTGCTCTGAACTAATGAGTCCATCTCTCCAGCCCAAAGCAATCATTTTTACACAACAGCCTAACAACTCTACCAAAAACAATGCTTGTCATTTCTGCTTGTAAAGATCTGTAAAAACTCTCGGATTCTAACATACAGTGTAGAATGTGAAGCCTTTGAAACCGTGTGCTGCACCTAAGGTATTACCAGGTTTGCCAAAGTCCACCTCATCTGTATTGTTTTTCTTTTGATGCTTTTTGGAAAGATTCACAGCCTGTAGGCCAGACAAGCCTAGAAGTTACCAAGCTGGCCTTGAACTCACAACAATCTTCCTGCTTCAGCCCTCTAAACGCTGGGGTTACAGGCATAAGTGACCACACCCAGCTTATATTCTTAACCAGATTAAAGACATGCTTTTTTGATACTGCTTCCTGGTTCCCTAACTTTAAAAAAAATATGTGTATCTCAATTTTTATTTTAAAAAATTAAAAAGTATTCACTTATTGACTATATGTGTATGTACATGTGTGGAGGAGTACCTCTGCATGGCATTCTTGTAGTGAGAGGACAACTTTGGGGAGCTGGACCTTTCCTTCCACTGTGTGGGCTCCAGGGATGGAACTCATGTCTTCTGGCTTGGCAACAAACACCTTTATCCCCTGAACCAGCTCCAAATCCTTCTTTCAAAAGAGAATATCCGGGCTGGAAAGATGGCTCAGCGGTTAAGAGCACCTGCTGCTCTTCCAGAGGTCCTGAGTTCGATTCCCAGCAACCACATGGTGGCTCACAACCATCTATAATGAGATCTGGTGCCCTCTTCTGGCCTGCATGCATACATTCAGACAGAACATTGTATACATAATTAATAAATAAATAAATAAATAAATAAATCTTAAAAAAAAAAAGAGAATATCCTTATGGGTTAGGCCAAATTTATCTACTCAGCTAATACTGAGCCCACACCATGTGTTAAAAGAAGTTCCTAGTTCTGGACACAGGATGGAAAACACATGTCTGTTACCCTCAAAGTGAACCAGGTCTGCTACAAAGTCCTCATTACCTTGGTTAAAAGGAGGCTTTTCTTTGTGTTTAAACTCTAAGTGCACATGCTTACTTGGCAACTGTTGAGGTATGGCGTGCATGTGGGTATTGCACCTACTGCTAAAATTAGAACTTCAGCTTTTTAGGGGCAGGATGGTATCTGTTTCTTATTGAAAATTGCTTCTAACCCAATAGTTGTTCAAACTGTCGCACTGATTGAATAATGCAAGGAAAACTGAAAAATGTACGTATTCTACATCATGGTAAATTTATCTTATCACTCAGAAAAAATATTTACAATGAAGGATTAAGCATTGGATTAAATGAACTTCTGTCAGTCAGAAACTGTCTGCTAAAGCCATAAATAGAGAAAGCCCTCTGACAATCAAGAGACTAGAAAAGCCTCATCACACAGTGAAAGAGATGAAGTAGAGAAGAAGAAGAAGAAAAAAAAATCTGATCTAAAACAACAGTTTCAAGTTTTACTTTCAATTCCAAAGAAGGGAGGGAGAAACCATTGTTCTTATTGGTAAGTTTGTGAAATACGGGCTATTATTTAAAAAACAATCTTAAAAACATAGATGTTTGGGGGGAATTCAGAATAGGCAAAGTAACTAACCTCATTAATTCCTCCACTTTATCATCTACATCTAGGTCCTCTTCTGAGGCTTCAAAGCTATATGACCTCTGACCCATGCTGTTTGCATGGTATCGAGATGGCGACATCTTCCCATTGGATGTGGACAATCGATCGTTGTTCTCTCTCCCATTTTGATTGGTAGTGCAAGGCTGTGGGGAGGTATCATAACTGTTGCTGGGTGATGGGGACATTCCGGAGTGCTGGGTCTGCGTGGAAGCTGTGGCTGTAGAGGAAGATGCTGGAACATTGTTGGTACTGTTCCCATATGAGCTTCCCCCGTAGCTGGACCTCCTTCCAAACTTATCACTATGCTCTTGATCAAGACGGTCCAAAGTTTCTAATGCATGGAGAATTTCATGTTTGGTCATCCCAGTACGCCGAAGACGTTGGAGCAGATCTATCTGTTCTATGGTAAATCTGGGTTCATCTGTATAGTGAGACATGGTTTCCAGCAAACTGGGGGAGAAGGGGGGAAAGAAAAGGATACAAATGAAGTGCCTTCATTGTTAACTAACAAACATTTCACCATCAAGAATCCTCAGCAGAAGAGGCTTGATCTCAGCACCAGCTTACTTCACTGAGTATAAAATTATAAGGGATAGGGTGATGGCTCAGTCACATGACAGATCTGTTGCGTAAGCAGGGGTGTCTTAAGTTCAACCTCCTGCACCAATGCAAAAGCTGAGTGCAGCAGCACAGGACAGGAGTTCTAGCACTGGAGAAGTAGAGGTAAGATCTTTGGGGCTTGCCGACCAGCCAGTCAAGCTAATCAGTGAGCTGTGGTTTCATTGAGAGACTCTGTCTCAACAAATAAGGTGGAGCACAACCAATGAAGACACCCAATGTCCACTTCTGGCCTCCATATGCATTCATACACATATTAATAACACACACACAGACAGACAGATAGACAGACAGACAGACACATACACACACAAAACAACAATGACAAAGACAAAGACAAAGACAAAGAAACGAGTCCTAATAGACGTTTTTGTTGTGACTTGGATTGGTACAGATTCTGAGTTAGTAGGAATGTATCAATTATAACATAAAACCCAACTTATAATGGAATAAAATTTATGTTTTTCATTGGTTTTTGGTAACCAATTGAAATTTGGAAGCAAAATATTAATTATGTCAAGAATACCCATTTATCAGGTAAAGTCCACATAGTGCATCAGGCACAGACTATGTGATTATGTACAGTTTTTTTTTTCAATTTCAAAATATATTGATGTATACTAGCATATTAATGGGAACTTGCTGGAAACACTTGTGTTATCTTGCTTTTCCAAACACCAGCAAAATTGACCAAGAACTCTAAGGTCATTCAGTGCAGACTGTTTGGCTTGGCTGAGTCTAAGTGAATGCTAGTAACTATACAAATACTGCAGTGGAGGATAAGAGCAGTACCTACAACACACGAAGCAGCGCTTCCACTTCCTACAAGTCTTGTGAGCCTCCTCTCTGCAGCACGTTCTCTGAATGGGTCCCTCATGTGTACAACCAACTGGAGCTATTCATATCTGGAAAACTGGTTCTACATGTTTCCACCTTAACTAGCACAAGACACTGGAGCACACCAGAAAATGTTCTCTTAAGAGAGAAACTTAATATTTTAAGATATTAACCACATCATAAAAACACCCCCTCCCTCTTTGAATTACTTTTTTTTTTATTTATAAAAGCTGACTTTAAAAAAGATTTATATGTTTGTAATTTTGTATTGAGTATTAGTCTGCATGAAAGTATGGGCACCACATGCATGCAGTGCCAGAAGCAGCCAGAAGAGGGCAATGTATGTCCTGAAACTGGAGTTACAAACAGTTTTGTAAGTTGCCATGTGGAGGTTGAAACCCAACCTGGGTCCTCTGCAAACACATCAAGTGCTCTCAACTGCGAAGCCATCTCTCTGACCCCTAAAATCTGACTTTTGAATTCAGGATTTTTGAAAGTGATAACCAATTCTATTTTAATTTGTATTTTCTAGTGACAGATATGATCATTGGCATGGAGTAGCCTTGAAATAAACAATTGCTAAGAGAAACAAAGGTCAAGAAATTTTCTTATCTTAAAGACAAATGTGCTGTAGGCCAGTCCCCTAAACCTGTTGTACAGCTTACTATCCCCCCGCCCCGCCCCCCACCTGTACTGTAGAAAAATCCAATTGAAAAGTTACTTTTACTAAGAAATTGGGCAAGAATTTCATCTAACCTCACCTAGTCCTCCTAGCAAGTCTCTATGGTAGATACGATTTATTTGTTTTGTTTTAATGTCACATTATGAACTGTTAAGGAAATTGAGGCTAAAGATACTTTTGTACCTTTCAGAAAGTCTAAGACCATCTGGGCAACAGAATGAGTTCAAGGACATCTTGTCAGTTAGTGAGACCTATCTTAACATAAAAATCCAGTATTCTTTAAGAGCAGTTCACACTCTTAACCACTGAACTACCTCTATGGCTCCGTTTTTGTTTTGTTTTAAATAATTGCCAAACCAAAATAATTTTGCTGTGGGATGGTCTGTATGTCAAATTGCTCTGATTGGTCAATAAATAAAACACTGATTGGCTAGGCAGGAAGTATAGGCGGGACTAACAGAGAGGAGAAAAGAAAGAACAGGAAGGCAGAAGGAGACACTGCCAGCCGCCACCATGACAAGCAGCATGTGAAGATGGCGGTAAGCCATGAGCCATGTGGCAAGGTATAGATTTATGGAAATGGATTAATTTAAGCTATAAGAACAGTTAGCAAGAAGCCTGCCACGGCCATACAGTTTGTAAGCAATATAAGTCTCTGTGTTTACTTGGTTGAGTGTGAGTGGCTGTGGGACTGGCGGGAAAGATTTGTCCTGACTGTGGGCAAAGCAGGAAAACTCTAGCTACAAAATTTACCCCTGAATTTACTGGCTTGGCAAATGTCAGTTTCTTCTCATAATTATTTTTCCATCTTCATAGTTACTTTCCCTTGAAAATAAAAGGTTTGTTTTGGTATCTTCAGTCTTCATCCAATCAAAGTATTTCAAAAACTGTTCTTCCCTTAGATACTTAACTTTAGGAACTATTTTATCTTTGTATAGCAAAGTTAACCATATTTTCCTATCCTGTTCAGTCAGTGAAGATCATTAAGTCATACTCTGTTCTTCAAGCCTCCCTCTAATATGACACAACACTGTCTATTAGCAAAAAATTTTATAGTATCCAAAATATTTTATACCACTTAGGATCCATTAACAATAGGAAACCACTTTTATTCCAATATCATAAAGGGGGAAATAGGGTCCACCCTTACTTTGACTGTCCAGAACACCTAATCATTTCTAAGCACATGTTCTTGGATCAGCTCTTCCCAACTTCTGGTGAACAGGCTACCACAGGAATGAAAACTTGGCTCTCTTCAAAATGTTCTACTTAGACTATGGTAAGATGGACAGTAAGTGTAACTGTGCTAAGCCACAGGAAGACTTTTGATAAGATGGACAGTAAGTGTAACTGTGCTAAGCCACAGGAAGACTTTCGTGAAGCAGGAGCTGGGGGAGAATAAAGCAGATAACCAAAAAATGCAGGGAACAAGGGGAAAGCCCTGCAGCATCCTATTGCTGTCCCTGGAATTCTTAAGCACTTAGACTCCTGCTTTTCTTTCATTTGGTGGGACAATCAACTTCCCTTTGCACTTCCCTGTGTTTAAATGGATGTCTGTAGCTTGTACCAAAAGCAGCCCCTGCTGCCAAGGGAGCTAAAGCAGAGGTCACAGTTGCCAGGGTCAAACGAGTGACTTAGAAGAGGACAACAATGTCCTGAGCAGGATCACACTATGCACATGACACCGAAAACACAAACACACACACACACACACACACACACACACACATGATTAGAAGCTTTCGTGGACATTGAGAACACTTTGCCAATGTGCACCAATACATGTGGCAGGATATATTATGCCATTTTCCATTTGTACTTCTCATAATTTACCTACTGCAAGCACAGCTTCATAAAATAACAGCAGCAAGTAACCTATATAGGTCATCTAGGACCATAATGCCAGCAATCCTTTCATGACAAAAGAAGATGACATGGAGGGGCTAAGTTAATTTTCTCACGCATGAAAATCATTCACAGGAGAGGAGGAAGTTTTGCTTTAAGTTACTAATTTGAATGTAGGCTCCAGCTAACAGTATTTGAAAATAATGTAAGAATTTTGACACTCAAATAATATAGACAAAGATTAAAATAGAAAAGAACAATTCAGTTCAGGACTTATGGCTTAAATCTTAAACTGATACTGTAAGACCACAGTACATTTTGAGATATGAACCGTATTTTGCAATAATACCTAAAATCTTTCTAGATAAGCCACAAGGCCTGGGAGAAACCTTTTTAAATGATATTCCAAAGATGGACAATGGAAGAGTCTGGCTAAGGCATTCAGAAACGATGAATGAGCACTGAAATCATAGGGGCAAAAATGACACGGATTGTAAAGCATCAATAGTTAAGTTTTTGTTTCTGCTGTTTTTATCTTGTCCAGAATGACTAGGCAGAACCCACTTTACCCTGTATGGTAACTGTAGGATGATTCAAACATTCCAGGCCCTTCTTACGATTTATATACACTGTTCCCTTTCTTGATTGTTACTACCATCAGAGAAGTGGCTTCAGAGTAAGAAAATGATAAGTAAGAGTAAGTAAGAAATAATGCTTTACAGGGAATTGAGCTTCATAGTAGAATGATCCTATAATTCAAATGATTAGGTAAACTGACTAAAGCCTAAGAGTCTATGACTACAGACCATGTGTCAATGTCCCTTTCCTAATAAAAGGATTTTATGATAAGCATAGTTATATTCCAGTGTGTCAATCACACTTTAGTATTTTTTAAAATAGCACAGATTAAGTTCTATTTTGTGCAGTTTGGAGGATAATCTGTTACACAGCTTTAAGATGATCTCAAACACTGCTACACATGACAGATACGTCTATAAGGCACAGCAGAGTTGATGTTCATCATCTCAAGGACGCAGCTCATGAAGCTCCTCCGTTCACTCTTGGAGGGTAAGGTACTTTGCTGTTTCAGCATGTCTGAGACACAGCCTTGCTACATAGCTCAGGATGGTCTTGGACACATGCTCTTTCTGCCTTCGCGTCCCGAGTACTGAGATTATCAACATAGTCCTACGTATGGGAATCTGGAGTCAACACCTATCCTTTGAGAACTCTCCCTTCTTTTATGCAAGTTACATTAAACCTTCCCAGACCCTGTAGTAAGTTGCTGACTAGAAGTACTAGCCTTCAAAAAATTTGTTTGACAGACATTTTGAAAGCTTTGTAGCTTCACCTGCCAATATTTAGCAGTGCCCTCCAGCATCAAGTGCTTAAAAAAAAAAAAAAAACCCCACAGGAAACAAAACAAAAACCCCTTATTGCTGTTTTCATGTGGCAATACATTCTCTAGTTACTGCACTCCTGTCACAGAGGACAGCATCCCACTCCTCTCTATCCTGTGGCTCCCACAGTCCTTCTACTTCCTCTCTTCATCCCACTCCTCTCTATCCTGTGGCTCCCACAGTCCTTCTACTTCCTCTCTTCAAAGTTCTGGGCCTTGGAAGGCTGGAGAGGATGACACATGTTCTGTTTGGGGCTGAGCTTCAGCAATCACTTGGAGTGGTCTATGTGTCCCCTTGTGACTTCACAGCTCTCTGCTGTGAGGATCAAGTGAAGTTATCACTCCTGTAATGCACACCTGGGTCATAGGCTTTATTTCTCCACTAACTGAACAACTAAGCTTCAATAATTTAGGAACTCACTGTGTAGTTAAGACGCACCACAGCTGTACTTTAAGTACAGTCCTCTGAGGTTTGTTCATTCATATTACTTACCCACTCCTCAAGAACTATAAACCTTTCCAGGTGTGGTGACACAGGAGACTGAGGCAGGGGGATTAGGAGTTCAGGGTTATCCTTGGCCATGTAGCAAGTTTGAGGGCTGTCTGATACACAAGACACAAGACCCTGTCTCAAAAAACAAAACAGAGCCAGGCGGTGGTGGCACACGCCTTTAATCCCAGCACTCGGGAGGCAGAGGCAGGCGGATCTCTGTGAGTTCGAGGCCAGCCTGGTAGAGAGAGCGAGTTCCAGGAAAGGCGCAAAGCAACACAGAGAAACCTTGTCTCGAAAATCAAACAAAACAAAACAAAACTACGAACCTAAGCAGAGGGGTTTTTTTTTTGCGTGCCAATGAATTGTGTGATTTGTGAAACTCTTATTTTGATCATCTCTTTATTTCCACTATATACAAGAAAGACTATATTAAAGTTTATAGACAGAGAAATAAAAATTTGGTGTCAAAGAGCCAGAGAGATGTGGTGGTACACACCTACAATCCCAGCACTCAGGAGGATGCGGCAGCATGTTTGTGAGTTTAAGGCTAACCTGAGACACAGAGCAAGTTCCAGGCTATTTTAGACACAGGGAGACTCCATTCTCAAAAAACAAAGGGTGCGGGAGGGGGGAGAAACAGAAAAAGACAAAGCAGCAGGCAGGCAAGCAGGCAAGCAAGCAAGCAAGCAAGCAAGCAAGCAAGCGGGTGGGTGGGAGGGGCAAAGTCCTGAAGATAAAGTGCCTTTGCTAGGGCACAGCTACTCAGCAGAAACTCAGGCGACAGTCTTATCATCTGGCTCTCCTCCAGAGACTGCACTAAATCACAGAATCAATGTATGTGTGTGTTGAGGGGTGGAGGAGGGGTTTCAAAGAAAAACCTAAATAATAAATAAAACCAATCTTAATGTCTACTTATTAGATTATACAACTGTCAACCAAAACAGAAGAAATTTAAGTGAAACAGACTCCACCAAATTTTAGAAATTACTTAGGCTCAAGGCACTCTGCACTAGACGCTAAAGATGCACTTAATGAGCTAATAGGCCCTTTATCTTCTCTAATTTCTGAAATTCCGGGAATACTTTTATTCCGAGGCCTATTTTATATGAACTGGTGGTTACAGTTCATATTCCAGCACAAAAACATTCTTGACACAACACCACCATCTCCATTTGTATCTCTGCCTTGACTCCAAAGACCAGCTAGCAACAATAGCTAATAGGCAGAAAGAACTACCTTACCATCTGCGGTAGTGAAAGAGAAATGGCTATGGTATCCTTAGGAGTTTGCATGCAAATCAAGCATTAAGAGAGCATGCTTTTTATATTCTGCTTGTTCCTAAGAATGCAACTGGGGCTCTCACCAACACTTAACCACCTATCTGACCAGCTTCTAGACTATTAAACAGTTAAAAATAATGACTATGGGGCTGGAGAGGAGACTCAGCAGTTAAGGGCACTTACTGTTCTTGTGGAAGACCTGAACTTGGTCCTTAGCACTCACATTCAACAGCTAATAAGCACTCATAACTCCGGTTCTAGAGGCCTCTGGCCTCTTTCAGCACCCGCACTCACTTGTGCATACCCACATATGCATATAAGTAAAATAAAATCATTTTAATGAAATAATAAATATGAAAACTTTATGTTTAAATGGAAAAATGTTAAAATATAATGTTGAAAGTAAAAATGGTAAAAGAGAAAAAAACAAAAACCTCACAGATCTGAAACCACATTCCTCCCCATATGATTACACTCCTTTTACCTTGATGTCAACAACATGTACCATTTTAATAGTTTCCTAAAAATTTCTTTTACCTTGGGCTGGCAAAATGACTCAGAGAGTAAAAGTGCTTGTCGTTAAACCTGCGTTTGATCCCGCATGGAAGGAGGAGAGTACCACCTTCCACCAACCTGTCCTGACCTCCCCACACAAGCCGGAGCAACTAAACATCCAGCCCACACACAAAGAGATAAATGTCATTGAAATGAATTCTTCCAATTCTAAAAGCATTTGTTATCACAGTTCTAATCACCTAACATTACTAGAGGGACTGACAGGAAGAGTTGAGAAGGATACTTACACCACTGGAAAGGAACTGAGCATACTTTACATGAGGTGGATCAATGGCCTTTCCAGAGATGGCCAGCCTTATTTACCATTCTGTAGAACAAAGACAGAAAATTGAGAAACAGTTATGTAACTCAGCATTGAATAAAAAGTTTAAATATGCAACTTTGGGGTATTAAGAGTTAATATTAGATAATCTTTTTTCCCCAAAATTATTTTGTAATTTTGAAATGAAATACTGAATTGGAGCAAAACTTAAAAAACACAGAAAAATGACATTTATAGCTTTCCAAACGATTCCCCTGGGGAGGGGAGCAATTAAAAACAAAAGTCACCCATTTTAACTTGTTATCAGGAACCACCCACAGAAGTGGATCTAGACTTGCAATTAGATGCACACCCTGTAATGGCACTCAACCAACCCTTAACTGGAGAGTAAGCCTTGGCCCTCTTCCATGCCAGGCCAGCCCTCTGCCACTGAGCTCCACTCTCCCCAGCTCTCAGCCATCATTTGCACAATACCAGGCACTTAGGAAGACTCCTATAACAAAGCAAGCCCCAGCACAGCTTAGCTGCAGGTAAGGTTTGGGGTCTACTGCTAAGTGCAATGCTTATCTTGCAGCTAGGTGGACTCAATTTCTCTGAGTCTCAACTGTAAAAAGGGGCTAACACAGCGACTTCAGAGAGCTACTCAAGAATGGTTTTAGTTTTCCAAGTGAGAGTGATGAAGCACTTCACAAACGAGCACTGGTAGTCGCTACTACTACCAACTTAAAAAAGGGATACATGTTCTGCTGGCTCAGATGACCAACACTGCACAAGTGAGTGACAGAGACACTTCCACCGTCTTCAATTCCAAGAGTGCGCGTGCGCACACACACACACACACACACACAGCATGAATCTTAAAAGTTCTTATTAATAAAAACAAACCTGAGGCCAGTTATTGGGGTGAATGCTGGAAGATTAGAGAAGCAGAACAAGCCACTGCCACCTCACCTCGCCAATTCCTCAGCTGATCCTGTTTCCTCAGACTCGATGCCTCCTCTGAGTCCTTATCCAAATGAATCTCAGCTGAACTGCTTTTCCATAGCCTGAATGCTTAACCAGCCAAATGCTTCTAGTTTCTGGTCTTCACGTCTTATATATCTTTCTGTTTTTG